ATCTGTGCCTTGCCACAGTTCTGTCTCTGAGCTCTTCAGGCAGTTCCTTTGACCTCATGATTCTCATTTGCTCTGACATGCAGTGTGAGCTGTAGGGTCTTATATAGACAGGTGGGTGGCTTTCCTAATCACGGTCAATCAGTATAATCAAACACAGCTGGACTCAAATGAAGGTGTAGAACCATCTCAGGGATGATCAGAAGAAATGGACAGCACCTAAGTTAAATATATGAGTGTCACAGCAAAGGGTCTGAATACTTATGACCATGTGATATTTCAGTTTTTCTTTTTTAATAAATCTGCAAAAACGTCAAAAATTCTGTGTTTTTCTGTCAATATGGGGTGCTGTGTGTACATTAATGGGGAAAAAAAATGAACTTAAATGATTTTAGCATATGGCTGCAATATAACAAAGAGTGAAAAATTTAAGGGGGTCTGAATACTTTCCGTACCCACTGTATCTATAGTGGGTTCCCAGACAATGAAGTAAAGTGAATAATAAAAATAAAAAAAAGGGCTAAGAAACAATCATGATGTGATAACTTGGTTCAGCTGCTGACCCTACAGACTTAACAGGCCTTGTTTTGCACTGAGCTGTAAGGAACAATTTGATTCCCCAACACCCTGAATGACAGTCAGAAACAACGTGGAACATCCAAACTGTATGAACAGTGATGCATTTGCTTATTACTGCTGTTCATATTGAAGTTTGACTTAGAAAACTAAACACTGTTAGTGACTCTGAACTGACCTGAACAAAATAATCTGAATTAACAAAGCAATGACACTTAATAAAGCCCACAAATAAATGAATGTAATAAGCATAAACTTTATTGCCAAGTATTAACAAAAATACAAGGAATCTGTAGCAGTAAGCTGATGATGCGGCATGAACTCAAACTAGAAAATGTTTTTCAGAAAATTTATTCCATTATTTTTGTTATGTTTTTGTGTCTGTTGTGTTTAAATATTTAAATCTGTTTTTAGGTTTTATAATGAGTTACTTTGGTTGTTTTGCATTTGATGGACACATTGGTTGTCACTCACGTTAAATGTGTATATTTTGTGCAGCTCTTTCCTCCCATGTCCACTGACTGCTCCTGCACCTCTGCCAACCCTGTATTCTCCTAAACAATGGCTGCTGTGATGCACCCTTCAACAATGCATCTGTTTTTAGCCACAATAACTGGATTTAAACTACACAAAACAGTACAGTCTTACAGTTGTTTGCAAAATTGGAGCTAAAGGC